CTGTGAGATTGAGGAACCCTCAAGCTGGTACTGCTGAAGTGCAGTAACTTCATAAGGGACTCTTTAAGAACTGGAGGTGCAGCCGTATTTCCCTGAGCCTTTTTGAAAGGGGTCGTGAAAAAAAACAAAAGAAGATCACATGCCAGTAATTGTACTTCTGGTGGATGTCCTAAAGGGAGTGACAGAAGACACAGGGAGAGGTGGTGCTTGGGGCAGGCAGCGTGTTCATGCTTCAGTAACTCACAGCATCTGTTTGAGCCTTGCCTGCCACGATGGGGAAGGCAGGATCAGAAGATGTCATGTAATTAGGTTTCTGTAAAGCACATGATATCAAAGATTAATGAGCAAAGCAAAAACTCCCAGAAAATAAGGTGTTGTCAGACATCCCAAACTGTCACAGATGGAGGATTCTTCTGAAGAGCTGCAAAGACAAAGCTGCTGCTTGTGTCGATGTGAATATTCCCTGTCCTAGAGATGGGGATCGGACCAGGCTGCGTGGTGCTGCCATGGGTGTTCAGACCTCTGGTCCCAGGGAATGTGGAAGCTGCGGTAGAGCCCAAAAACAAGAAGTAAAATGCTGGCTTGAAAAGTGTAAGAGTTTAGAGAAAAGATTGGGAGATTGCACATTGCTCAGGAGAAGGAAGCAGGGCAGAGGGATCTTGTATGACATAGAATGCTGTAAGGAATTTGCACCTGCATGATGTAAAGACCTTTCCTCTCCTGGTTTTGATGTACTCTACCTATATTAGTGCATCACTGGGGCTGTCCCAGCTGGGGATATCGTCTGCTTCTTGAGTCAGCAGACGACCAGGACTTTGGTGCCTAGGAGCAGTTAGGATCACCTGCCTGCGTTAACTGCAAGCAGAAATGGAGGACACCCAAAAAAAACCCCCCAGGATGCAGCATCAAGGGGGATTGTGGACACGCTTTTCCCTTGGTGGTTCTGGTGCCCAGCCCTCGGCTGCCTTCTGCATCTCCCAGCACCGCGGGGAAAGTCTGTGTCAGAGGCAGGAGCACAAGCCAGGCTGCCTGGCTCCTAGTTTTATGCTTAAGCCAGAAGCACAGGTTTCCCTTCTATCAGCAATTGGGGCACTTTTTATTCCTTTGCTGGAAGACTGTCTGCAGTGTTAGGAGAAAATCAGTGAAAAAGCAACATTTTTTTTTTTTTATCTGACTTAAAAAACAAAAAAGAGTTTTTTTGAGGGATTTGAGGGTGAACTGTTACGGTGCTGCTGTTCCTTTGATTTGTTCTAGGGGAGCAGCACGAGAGAAAAATACAACCTTGTCTCTCAGTGGTTAATTCTCACAAATGTGAATTTTTCCCAGTGGGAGCAAGGAGAAGGTTTCAACACAGGCTGTTGTTAGCCCCTGCAAATGCCAAGTGTCTGCTCTTGGGAGATGGAGAACAAAGTTGGCACCAGTAATTAGTGGCCGATGCTCTGATTTGGCAAAAAGTGCTGAAAATGAACATCTGATGGAGAGGTCTTGGGCTGATTTAGTAAAACACAGTGCAGTTTGAGATGACTTTTGGGATGATATTGTGCAAAGTGCAGGTGTGATCAGAAGGAAGGTAATGTGAAAAACACAAAGGAGAAGCTTAGTGTCATATTTAGTTCTTTGAGTTTTTCTGTTGAGCTTTTCTAGCATAACATTAGCAGTACAATGATACAACAAAGTTACTGATGTTAATTAAGGAGAACCGAGATGCCAAAACATCACAGATTTCTCATTTTTTATAGATACAACTTTGTTTCACTTCCTCTGCAGAAAGATACAGGTATTAATTTGGTTTGAATGTAACTGTTATTTAGGAGCAAAACCCACATAGATATAACGCAGCATGGGCCAGCAAATCCAACAGTTCATCATCAAAGAGAGAGAGGCAGAGCAGTGCCGGAGGAGTCGGAGCGATGTGTGGTCAGGCCGTGTGTGGGGGCATCCCTGCCTGTCCCAGGAGAGCCTCCCGGGAAAGGACGCTTGGTGGGAAGATGGGATATGAATCAAAAATCTTGCAGCTACTGTTGTAAATGTTTTGAGCTGTGCTGCTGGTCTTGGGATGATTCCAGCACCAGCAGGAGCTGCTGTGGCTCACTCTCTGCTGGGAAGCACGTTGGGTCGATGTCTCGGAGGTACCAGTGCCCACTGGGCATGTTGTCTTGAGGGGGTGACACTCAAGGGGTGAAGGTAAATGTGGGTGTGGGGAACTTTTATGCTCCAAGCAAAACTTAAAGTGGTTGGCACCCACTGGCAGTGGGATGACTCTCAGGGAACCTCCTGATAACTTTTCTCAGGAGCTGGCAGGACTGTAAGGGTTATGCTGTGACAGTGATGAAGCGAGGAGCAGAGAGGACAGGCAGTTTCACCGCAGGATGGTAAACTCAGGATGGTAGGATCA